ACATATACAATGAAATCTGGATATGCAGTGGAAAAAAAGGAGGTAAGCCAGAGGAGAAAGGAGGATCAAGGCGAGGGAGAAACTAGCTATGCATAGCATAAGGAAAAAATGTGGAAGAGCTTGTGGGGGTTAAAGATGAAGCCAAAGATCAAACATTTCATATGGAGATGCCTACACAATAGGATTCCTGTGAATGAGCTGATACACAAAAGAACAGGAAAAGGCTCTCTATTAAACAAATGTTGTGGTGAAGGGGAGGAAATAGTGGAACACATGATCTTTTTTTTACAGCAATGCTGAACCTATATGGAAATTGGCCCCAATACAATGGGATGGAGTATCAAACTTCTGGAGGTGGTAGGAAGGTATATTAAAGGCAAGGAAAAGACCAAAAGGAGAGGACCACATCACATTAACAGCAAACATCATCTGGCAAATCTGGAAAGCAAGATATGCTCGACAGTATGAAGGGAAGTATGGAGATCATATGTCCATCTTGGATAATGCAAAGAATGAATAGCTGGAATTTCAAGAGGAACAGCTGGACAATGATGAAAAGCACAAGACAGGAAAGAGTCACCAAATGCAAAGCCACCAATGGAGGCCACCAGACGCAGGCGTAGTGAAGATCAACACTGATGCAGCTGTCTCTACTAAATTAGCAGGAGCAGATTTAGGGATGATAGCGAGAGACAGCTATGGAAACCTTGTTGAAGCAAGAGGTATCAGAAAGTCTAGCAGCTGTGGAGTTGAAATAGAAGAGGCAGATGCAATCCGATAGGGACTGATAATGGCAAGCGAAACTGGGTGGCAAAGTATAGAGATGCAATCTGATTGCAAAGCTGCCATTGAAAAAATCCACAAGGGAGGCATGGAGGAATCACCAATAGCCACCATAATGGAAGATATAAGAAATTGAGTGACATGTTTCAGTACTGTACTTTTTCTTTTGTTTATAGAGATGGAAATACATGTGCTCATAAAATGGCACAATTTGCAACTAGACTTGTTTCCAATGTAATGTGGAAACAATATTAAAAGTTTCCCTCTGTGGCTCAAAGAGAGTATACAGGAGGATAATAGGACCAATGTCCACTTTCGTAAATGAGATCTTGTATTATCAAGTATATATATATATATAAAGAGAATACCGTTTGGAAAAAAAAAAGTGTATCAGCTTGATCATATCTGCCTCAGGCTTTGGAGGGCCATAGCCAAAAGACATTCCCATGCAGCCTAAGCCTTGCACTGATACCTTTAGGCATTGTGATCCCAGCTTGATTCTCCTCACTCCTCTTGCCATTTTTGAAGCTTTGTTAGTAATTTCTTCCAAAACCGTGCTGGCTTCTCTCCTCTTCGAGTTGAGTATTGAAAGTAGGGAGAGTTAACATGAGAGAATTGGATGGTATGATGGCGTAGTTGGTGAGCTCATCACTTTCTGCCCATCCTGGAAGATGGCATATTACTAGCGGAGTAATTACAGATAATATATATAAATATGCAAGTGGTTAGGATGTGCACTATAATATATCAGCGGAAAGTATCTTCCGCACAGACCACAACGAATCCTTCACTGGAGGGAAATACAAAGGGTTAATTTCAGAAACCTCAAAAACCTTTGAGGTTGATCCTAATGTCACCACCTATCATGTTTAAAGTTTTAAAAATACATTTACATCACCTATTAATGTGATATGACTAGATGTTCCAATCAGAAGTGTTGAAATGACAATATGTTACTCTCAATATTTTCCTACTTTTTTTAAGTAGCAAAGGTTGGGAAAAGGAAAAAAAAATCCTACAAGCTAAAAACACCTAACAACAAATAACAAGAATGCCATTCAAAATATTTTTCTCCCTCTTTGTTACAAAAATTTTTGCTTTTAATACTCATCTTTGTTATAATCGATCTCCTAAAATTTTCTCTCCAAATTCCCTTTTTGCAGTAAAATTTTTGTATATATTTGCTATAAAATCTTTGCTCTTAATTTCCTCATTGTTCCAACCAATCTCTTGAAGTTTTTACCTTTTTATAATGTTGAAGTAGTTTCAGAAGTTATCCTTGTCTTACAAATTCTTACATTTTTAATTTAATATTCCATCTTGTTTTTTTTTTCATATTTCAAAATTCATAAATAAAATTGTACAAGGGTAAAAGTGAAAAATAATATATAATATCTCCTTCGATGCATTATTTATTATAGCTTTTACACATTAGGGGTGATAGTTACATAAATTGTCGTTCAAGGGGAGTTACGTGAGATTTCTAAAACTTCAAGAGTACAAGGTGATATTAGGATAAAAACTCAAGAGCACTAGAAATCTCTTCCTCGCACAGGGTTGCCGCATCTCTGAAATGCAATGACCATGAAACAACTCCATTTGAATTAGCCATTTTTGGGGGGTATTTTTGAAAAATTTTACTGTAGCAGTGTATATGAAAAATTTTTACTATAATTCTTTTTTGAAATATTTGATATATTGTATGGATAGGATGTTTTTTGAATTATTGTGTATTACTGTAGTATTGTATTTGAAAAACTTGTTTTTGAAAAAATGACCAATCCAAACGGAGTTTTCATTTTTTTGTCATGTGTCAGAACATTGTGAAAAAAATTTTTTACTGGGAAAAAATAATTTCATACCTTCACCAATTTTTTAAAATTTCTGCAGTCACCGTATCCAAATAAGTTTTTTTGTAGAACTTAACCGTTGATCGGTTAGCAAGCAACAACTAGTAACAACATTTAGGTTTTAAAATTGAAATTTGTTTTATCCTAGCCGTTGATTGATCATCGATCAACGGTTAGTAACATGGATTAGGTTCTATTTTGAAGGCACAAATTTTATTTTACAACTGTAATTTCTTTATCCTAGCCATTGATTGATCATTGATCAACTGCTAGTAATGAGGTTTATATTCTGTTTTAAAACATAATTTTTATTTTAAATTTAAATTTGTTAGATTAGTTCACAACTTTTTTTTTTCGAATTTTGTTCGCTTTTACGTGTAATTTGTAAGGTCACTTGCTAATGGGGACTTCATATCAACTCCATATCTATAAACACAAATAGGATCATGTTATAGATATGGATTAATGAATTATATTTATTTTCGATATTTATGGATATTAATGTCCAATTATAACTGTCTAATATAAATAAAAGAAAAGTGTTATAATATTTCAAATCGGGACATTTAAATGTATAAAATTAATGTAATAAAAGTTATATAAATGTCAATGTATAAAAATTTACATACAGATTGTCCACTATGTAGACAAATGGTCAAACATGTAGGCTGATTTTCTGAGAGATATGAAAAGACATTACACGCTCGAATAAATTATTCTTTGATAATCTTATTTTACACAATGATATTATTATATTTTTTAGTTAAAAAATATTATAGTGTCTAGGAAACAGTGGTACAATTGTAGATGTAATTATAGAAATTATAAAGTTATTTTTACTAAATAAATTCTATATGTTTTTACGATAATTTGTGATACTCAAGTATTTTTAAAAGAAAATATCAATATATTTAAAAATAAAAAAGAATTAGTAATAAGGACAAACATGGAAAAAGGAAAGTCAAAATGTTTTTATATAAGTACTATTTTTAATTTTTTGTAATAAGAAATTATTGCCACAATGTAATAAGAATTAGAACCATAATCCAATACTGTTTCACTCTTGGAAAGGAAGCTTCAATCATTGGAAAGGAAGCTTCAATCATAATTTTACTCATCAATACAATCGTCCGAGCTGGTTCGTTAATTATTTGTTTTTCACACCTTAGAGTAATTAAACTTTGAGTCGCCGCGTCCAAACCGGATGCGGTGAAAAAAACTTTTTTCTCGGTCTCCACACGACATAATAATAAAAAAAAGTCCACACATGACAAACAAATGAAAGAGAAAATAATATTTCAAGGTCGCTGCATTTCAGACATGTGGCGACCAAAGACAATATTGGTAGAAATTTGCCCTAAGTTGGGTCCTAAAAGAAATAGCTGCATAAAACATTTCTCAACACATTGCTAACAAATTTTTGCAAAATGATAATCATGGTTATTGGATAATCGATGATAATAGTTAACCAAAGACAATAGATTTATTAAAGTTCATGTATCATTGTTCGACAATCGAACATTATTCTGCAAGCATGAACTACATGGAATGAACTTCCAAGAAAAGCCAAAAACATTGGACTTAGGTTTTTTGGTAGGAATCGGAATCAGGTGCCATAGGGCTGTCAACGGTCCGGGTCTAGACCCGGACTGGATCCGTCAAATTATTGCGGGTATGAGTAGGGATTTAATTCTGTTATCAAGATCCGGATCCGGATCCGTTTTGTCAAACAAAAAACAGGTCGGATACGAAATATAGTATTTCGACCCGTATTAGACCCAGATCCGGATATAAATGGATTAATAATTTAAAAAATATATATTTATCAATATAATTTGATTAGCGTAATGTATTTGAATAAAGTCAATTTGAATTTTTTCTTATTTGAATTTTTTTTGTATTAGTTAGAAATTAGTTTACAAATATATTTTTTCTCATTTTTATTAGAAATTATAAAGTTTGATGGATTTCTTTCAGGTAGACTCAGATCCGGATCCAGAACATATAGTAGAAGACCTGTCGGATAAAGGGGTCGGGTCCGAAACCGGTATAGTATGCTGGGTCCAGGTCCGGAATAATGAATTCCGGCCCGGACCCGGCCCGTTGACAGGCCTAAGGTGCCAGTAGCCAATGCACCTTCCTATGTAGCTTTCCAAGATGACAAGGGCGGAGTATTAGCAAACCTCCAAGTCCTTGCCAATTGATCAGCTGAGTATCTCTCACCCTTTGATGCATCAGCAGAAGCAATGGATTCAAGCTCAGCCATTTCTTCTGGTGTGAAATATTTTATATAAGTATTATTTTTCATTTTTTGTAATAAGAAATTATTGCCATAATGTAATAAGAATTAGAACGATAACCCAATACTGTTTCACTCCTGGAAAGGAAGCTTCAATCGTAATTTTACTTGTCAATACAATCGTCCGAGCTGGTTCGGGTTCTAAGTTTAATTGCCAACCATAATAATAAAGTACAAACAGATAACAGAGCTGCTTCACGTAAACCATGTAACAGACCTTCAAAGAAAACAAAGAGTACAGAGGAATCAGCTACCAAGAGCCAGTACACCTTTCTATGTAGCTTTCCAAGATGACAGAGGCGGAGTATTTGCAAATCTCCAAGTATGTGCCATCATAGCAGGTGGGTATCTGTCACCCTTTGCTGCATTAGCTGAAGCAATTGATTCAAGCTCAGCCATTTCTTCCGGTGTCAACTTCACCGATAAGGCCTTGATGTTGCTCTCCAGGTTCTCAATCTTAGTAGTGCCAGGAATGGGACAGACGTCATCCCCTTGATGATGAACCCATGCTAAGGCCAATTGGGATGTGGAGCAACCCTTTCTTGTGGCCAATTCACCAACGCGCTCGAGCAGCTTCATGTTGTGCTCAAGATTCTCCCCTTGAAACTTAGGGACAGTCTGCAAAGGTAGCATATTGTTTGTTGTCAGCATTCAAATTGTGTCTATGTAGTTCTGCTTCCTAAAAATCTAGATATCAATCAGTGCAAATACAAAGAAAAGGCGAGGAGAGAGTCCAAGAAGTTTGTACTTAATTTGGTGATGGGAACAACATGGTGCAATAAAAATATCTCTGTCAGTGGCGTTTTTGCCTATGAAGCGGGGCGAGATAGCATAATGCATGTTAATGTAGGCAAGACAGAACAGTCAATCAGGAATGAGATACAGGGCATCACTGCAAAACACAAAGGAAATCTGGAAATGGAGAAGAAGCATGGTTCGCCATCGCGGATCGCGGCCGCGTCGCGGTCTCGGTTGTTTCACATCCATCGCGACATATCGGTTAAATATCGGGTGCTACACACATTATAATATATAAAAATTTTCAAAAAATCTGAAAAAATTACTAAAAATAGAAAATACCATTAAAAACACAATTATCAAATTAAATTTACTAAATACCTACTATATATTACCTAAAATTATCAAATTTGCCTTTTTCTAATTAATTTACCTAAAATCATTTTAACCAACATAATTGAGATACATGAAAATATATAAATTATATTTATGATCATTAAAATGTATCCAAATAATCACTATATATTTTCTAACTAAAATTTAGATAAGAGACTACTAATACAAATTAATCATATACTTAATAATATATAAAAATTGTCAAAATGCATTACATAAATTTACAAATATTTAAATATCACATCTGAATACTAAATTAAAAAAATTTAAATTGATAAGTTATTTTGAAAGAAGATGCAGACTTGAACTTGGGCCAAACTTGAAATTTAAGTGCTTCTAATTTTTCCTTCTATTTTTTTCCCTGTCCTGAGTCTGGTACAAAAGTCCAGCTTCTCCACCAAATATGTGACAGCTGCCGCACTGTGGAATTAGAGAGTGAAACCTGGCAAAGTGGGAGCCTGGTGTCTTTGGGATTATTAAATGGTTGCCGCTCTCTCAAAGCTCTGTAATTAGGCTCCTTTTATACGCTGAAACATCTCCGTGTAAACTTACTGTCAAAGAATTGAGATGCTCTCGATTCCTCCGAGTGAGATTGGGAATCAAACTATCAAAGTGGCAATCTGACTTCACTAGTGTTGTTCCTCTCAGATTTAGCCGTCCCTTTCTTCGTTTCTTTTTCTCAATTTCCCTTTCACCCTTTTCAATTTCCTCTCAGATTTAGCCGTCCCTTAGCTTGGTAATTTCCCTTTCACAGCCAGATTGAAACCTCTTCGCCCAGTACAAATGATGAAGAAATTGAAGCTTCAGCTCCAGATTAGCCAGCCGTCACCTTCATTCTTTCTTTCTTCATTCTTTCTTTCGCTTTCCCTTTCCCTCTGTTGTCTCCTTCCCTCTGCCGTCACCCTCTGTTTTTCTCCTCTCCTTCCTTCACAGGAAGGACGATGAAGAAAGAACTCGCTTCTCCAAATAACCATGGTCGCCAAAAGAACTCGCTTCTCCAAATAAATTGTGACCCTCGTTCTTTCTTTTCCCTTTTTCTTTCTCTCTGTTTTCTCCTTCCCTCTCTGCTAATCTGAAGATATTCCCTCTCGGCAAAAGGCACCCAGAAATTGACGGTATGTTTCTCCCCTTATCTTCCCTTTCCCCTAAAACTTGTCCTTGTGGCTGAAAAGAAAACAAGAAAGCATGGGAAATTGGACAATATCCGAGTCGAATCCGAGGATTTGGCCGATATCTTTCTACACGGTTCTAACTCGGACAATATCGACGGATTCGGAGCGATTCACATCGAATATGGTATAATCGATATTTCAGGTATCGGTATCGGAACGGTGGGGACTGTTCCGGTTATGGCCGAGTCGTCTCGGACTCGGCCGAGTTGGCCAACCGAAGGGAAGTAGAATGTTTCCGGGAGCCTAACGCAACCTAACAAGATAACCGGAAGGATATTCTCAAGTACCAACCAGAATCTAATTCTGGAGTCATCCAGTTTTAACAACACCTGTCTCTGTATAAGTTCTGAAACAGATACTTCAGAGCAAGTTCAACTTACACAGTTATTTCAGAAGCAAACACCAAAGCCAAAAGTAATCAAGAGAAGTGAAGTGCATTGTCTAGAACACAACGAAGCCACAAATTCAGCGAGTTACAAATTCTAGGAATCAATATATTATATATGAACCAGAGGGATGAACAAGCAACAGACTCAGATTATCAGTTGTAACCACATAACAACATACCCTGCGGTAGTCGTTGCTGGACAAATTCTCCATAAGCTTCGCACCACCTCCGAAGAATCCTTTGCCCAGAGGACTGAATGGTACAATTCCTATGCCAAGTTCCCTGCATAATTCATAAACATCATGAAGAAGTGAGATGAGAGGGTTAAAAGAAGTTTCCCAACAGAGAAGAAAGTTCCCTGGAGCATGTCTTGTCAATGACTTTCACCTGCATGTGGGAATAACTTCTTCCTCAGCATCTCTTGTCCACAAGGACCACTCTAGTTGCACAGCTGATATGGGGTGAACGGCATGAGCCCTCCTGATTGTTTCTGGTGAGGCCTCAGACAGACCTATGTATCTTACTTTACCCTCTTCAACCAGTTTCTTCAGAGCTCCAATCTACAAGTTGCATAATGTAGAAAGATTTTAAGAAGAAAAGTCTGTCTGACATACATATCTACATATATCAGTTGCAGTCACAGATAGAAAAATACACACAAACAAAAAGCTTGGAAGGGTCCATCTACCTACCAATCCACTACAGAAAGGCCAATTAAGCTACAACACGCACGAGTGCGAAAAGGGGTTTCAGCTGAGTTACAGGAAGACTCATTCCTCAATACAAACACTGATATCAAGAATTTAACATATTCTAAACTAGAATGAGCTGGTGTTTACTTGCACAAAAAACAAATGATGGAATTAGACTAGGGACAGACAGGGAATTTATAGAGTACTTCAGTGATGATTTGCATTCTGCTATTCAGAAACATATTGCTCTTGTGAGTCAAAAGCTGGACCCAATAATTCCAGAGGAGATTAATGAACATTGAAGAGATGGAAAAACGAACCGTGATTTCAATAGGAACCCTTGTATCAATCCGGTGAACATAGTAAAGATCAATATAATCAACTCCCAAACGCTTCAAGCTACTCTCACAGGCCTCTCTCACATACTCTGGATCACCACAAACTTCCGTTCCTCCACCTTCCAGTGGTTTCACACCAAATTTAGTAGCAAGTTGGACTTTCTCCCTTGGCAACCCCTTCAACCCCTACATCCACGAAAAACTCAAGGTCAAATTCTTTTTTTTAAAAAAAAAAAAATCTAACTAAAAGAATTCCAAAAAATACAAAATTCCCGCTACTACCTAAGGTGAGTTGGTAAAGGTATTAAGCTGAAAAAATTGGGGGAACAAGATAAGAATATCAATAAACAAAAACCTATCAACAAAACAAAAACGGAGAGAGGGAAAATTACTTTTGTGGGGAAGCAGTAAAAATGGCATTATTCACAACCATTAACTAGGCAGCCAAGTTTTAAAAAACAATACAAAAATCTTGAGAGACAAAACCCATCCCTTAAAAATTGCACAAAACAAAGGGGAAATTGCAGTTGTACCGAAATAAGTATATGTGTCATCTACACACAGCATAAATAAAGTTCTACACATTTTACAGTATTTAGCATCCAAAAATTTCAACAAAACATTGTTGATCTTCAACTCCAACTTCCAATATATTTCTTCTTCTTTCCATACAAACCCCTTGAACTACAAAAAACAAAAAAAAAATGGAGAAGTGGGAATTGTACCTTTCCAACGAGAATTTCATTAGTATATGGACCATAGATGATAGAGGTGTCAAAATGAGTGATGCCTTTATTGAAAGCATGGTGGATGAGCTTGATCATATCTGCCTCAGGCTTTGGAGGACCATCTCCATGAGTCATTCCCATGCAACCTAGGCCTTGGACTGACACGTCCAGCCCCTGTGACCCCAGCTTGATTCTCCTCACTTCTGACGCCATTTTCGAATAGAACTTTCCCAAAGGTTGCTGATTTCTTCCAGAATCAGGTTTTGAGTGAAGGAGAGGAGACTGTCGAGAGAGTTATATAGAGAGTGGAATGGGATATAAGTGTGTTTCTTTTGCCCCAGAAGCAATATGATGATGTATTCGGTGAGCTTATCATCTCCCGGCATCCCGGCGGTCGGCGGCTATTTCATTTCAGCGGCTATTCAGCGCAGTCCACGTTACCGACTACACAAGAATTATTTGATTTTAAAGTAGCAATGACTATAAAAATACATGAAGAAACACGATCAGTAAACGAACAATTTCAAACTATACATTTGTTAAATGACCACTCATTACAAAAATACATTAATAATGGTTACAGATATATTCACATAGGTTTGGTACAAGTAGCCGTAAAACCTTTAGTTCATATGGGGGTTGATGCTCCGATCTTTATGGCATTAAGAGATGAAATAGAAATAGAAATAAATAATTGAAATTAGGCTTGTTGAAAGAAAATGGAGAGAGAGAATTAAGGACTTACTTGTAATTAAAGTTCTTGGATTAAAATGAGCGTAGGAAGTGGAAACCAATATGAATGAAAGCTTTTGACTTTATTGGAAAGTAGGAGAAGTAGGAGATGGTTTACAATAAAAAAGGCTCAGATCACATAGATTGATCGATGCCTGTCCTTTAAAATCCTACATCTATTTATACATGAATTGAAATGTGCATTTCATTTTTATTTCATTTGACTCTTATCTTCTTATCTTCGTAATCTTGAAATCTTCATTGGATTGGATATAGCAATCCGTAGCCTTTTGAAATGTTGGCAACCACCTTTTTTTAACATATAGTCAAAAGAGCCTTGGGCCTCTTGGAGTTTCGTCGTCCCTTGCATGCGTATCTCACGTGACTAAATTTTTTACTGACCAAGCACTTAATTAGTCAGAGCCGATTGGTTGTTGCAGTTTTGACCATATGGTTTTTCCTCTTGTTTTAAAAGTCTTCCACGTTGACAGGCAGCACCGCTTCTACAAGCGTCTTGGATTCAGGCTCTTGTAGCCGATGCCTTGCAAAGAAAACTAAAAGCTTTCCTTTCTAACAACCACACCCAGATTATCTGGTAACAGTCCTTCCGTACGTATCTTTTCCCCACCAATTTTCCAATGTCAAACTTTCTCCCTCTTTTTCTGGTTGTACGACACAGCCCATGCTATGGGGGTTTCCTTCCATTACCCCTACATGGTGAAATTTTCCTCGTTTGTTTATTGTTTTCTCAACATTCATCCTTGGACGGGTTATATAGGTAATTTAATCCGGATGTAATTATAAAGCTTAGAGCTGGTTTACAGGACAAGCTATTTCCCTACTTGTGTGCCTGCTATCGGAATTGATTGCTGATGGCTGGTTTAGTTGAAGGGAACGTTCCTATGTCAAAGGTAGCTGTTGCTAATTCAGGCTTTCTTTCACTATATGTTAATTATTGAAGCGGTCTTTTGTTCATTTTTTCTTTGTGCTTCCTCTGGCTTTGTTGTTGCTCTCGCTTTCATTATTCTTCAGCATTCCTTCTCCTTCTGCTATTGCTCTTTCGCTCATTTTTATTTAATGGTGAGTGTAGTTTTCTAATTATCTTAAAACCAGCGGATAATGGCTCTTAAAACCAGTCATGGAACCTTGAAGTTAATAATGGCAGCTTTACATCTGGATGGTTGGAATTTACAAAAAACAACCTGATCCATACAATTGACAAGATACTTCTTTGACACAATGGAGACTTGAAGTTTGATCCAATGTTATTCGCAGAGCTCAAAATGAACACAAAATTCCTTTAGACAGTTCCACTTTCTGATATACTAAAGCTACATGTTCCAGGAAGTAATGGTATGTTATGCTCTAATCCTTGTCTACCAAATTCAAAAAGATTAGCTGCATAGTCATATCTCACAAATTTTATTATTTATCATTTATACCAGATAAAAAGGCTAAATACATCTTAGGGTTAATTCCACTTTGTCCCCTCAAACTTTGGACGATAACCCACTTAAGTCCCTAAACTTCAAAGTGGGACACTTAAATCCCTAAACTTTTAATTTGCTTCCAGTTAAGGAAAATTGTTGACAGAATCCTGAATGCCGTTGGTGGTCAAAGAGCGTGGCAAACACCAGATTTTGACCGAGGGCAACAATGAAAATTCACAAAAATCACATATATAGATTAAAAAAGGTGGTGAAATATGGAGGGAAGGTTTCCCTCCATGCAACCCACTTCAGATGGATAATGTAGACCCGATCCAAATCATAAAAGGGCACTTCAGGTCGGTATGCTGAGAGACCCAAGTTGTCATTTTGCTATCCACAAGGCAGGAAGAAGAAAAGGAGAACCCAACGCATGGTTCAACAAACAAAGAGAAATGGTGAGGCAATTTTGTGATTGTGGAAAGCAAACATTGATGATGACATCATGGACTGCCATGAACCCAGGAAGAAGGTTTTGTCGATGTGCCAAGTACAGAGTAAGGGAAATTAGGGTTTTGTGTTTATACTTGTTTTTTATTTTTGGTTTGTACGAATTGTAGCCACCTAATCTTGTCTGCAAACATAATGTTCTTGTCAAACTAGGAACAAGGAGGCTGCATATACTGGGATTGGGTTGATCCTGAGATGTGTCAAAGGTCAAAAGAAATAATACCTGGACTGCTAAGGTCGATGAACAAGATGGAAGCTGAGTTGGACAGGTTGAAAAAAAATTCAAGGTGCCAACAATCGAAAGTGAGGAAGCTAAGGATGTACTTGATTATCCACTGGGTTGTCATTGTCATGTGGTTGTTTTTGTTCAAATCTGGGGGAGAACGTCCAAAATGAGTTTTCCAGAAGAAGCAACCGCTTATGCCGGACTGCCTGTTTTGTTTGCTCAAATATGGGACCACCTTTGTCTGTCATTGCTAAGTAGTGGACCTTTTGAGTGGTGCAGGAAGGAAATTCTTACTTTTGCTGACTATGTAATTACCAGCACTTTCCCTAAAAGTGTTGGTTTTATATGTACTGTATCAAATTTAAGGATATAGTGGACCTGCTATGTAATCAGAATTTGTTGTTTAGGGATTTTAGTGTCCCAATTTGTGAAGTTTATTGTAAGTAGTTTATGTCACATTAACAACAGCAAACAATAGTCGTACCAGAACATAAAATTTTCAGCAAAAGCCTTTGATCATTCAACAGATCATCCAATACACAATAGCAATACCAGGAATGACAAAAATCCACATTAACAACCTCTGCATTTCACCTATCTGGACTAGCAGAACAAAGGCTATATGAGTTCCAAAACAGAGGCTACCAATAACAGAGGCTAACAAAAATTCCATGTTAACAAAAAAAATCTTAGTTCCAATGGACTATATGAGTTGAACAAAAGTTTGCCACATCTGGACTAGCAAAACAGAGGCTTTTAGTTGCCTAATTTGATTGTATCTACAAAACAAAAAAGACTATATGCCTGTACAATTCTTGAGTTGGTTTTTCCAGCATCAGTCAGTTCATGCTTGAAGGCTATTTGACATGTTGCTGCAATTTTCCCAACTTAACAGATTGGTTTCCATCCCCATGGAGCTGCACATTTTCAATTCCAGGTGACTCCTTCGCGTGTCCAGCAGCTGTCTGTAATGTAGATAGGTTAACACATAAATTCCCCTACCATGTGAATTGTGCTGGCTTAAGTCCACTGCTGGAATGAGAGGCTGTCCCCAAGTCCACGTATGAGTATGGTGCTCTCATCGTTACTCCGTGGCTGTGGGAATAAAGTTTGCGACCATTAGCTTTGGAGCTTAACTGCAAACAAGCACATAACATGAATCAATAAGCCGTGACACCCATAAATAAAGATCTGATATATGGAGACCACTTACATGAGTTGTTGTAGGACTCTTTTCCACATGCTCAGAACTTTTTTGAGCATGCTTATATGGGTTTTCTAGATCATCAGACCGTATTTTTACAGTTTTGAATCCCAAGTCTCCAGTCATGTCCAGTGAGCTGCTAAAGGTCCATTGCCTCAACTTACAATTATTCTTTGAGTGACCAAGCTTACGACAGAATGAGCATTTTCTTCCTTTCTTTGTCACTGGTTCTTGTGCCCCATGTTTTGGCTGATTGGCATTCAAATTTTGAGATGGACCTGTGTGACACTGTTGCGTACTTACTCCAACAATGTCAATGGTCACATCACTTGGACAAGCCTCTTTAGTAGTTGGCTGCATAGATGGACCTGCATCTCCAATATCACTATTCTCCTTTGCTGAACTTGTAGTTGTCCCCTCAGTAGTTTGCTTATTTTTATCCGGACATCCTCTCTTGTTATGTCCGTATTTTTTGCAGCAGCTGCAGCTCATCATGGTGCCAACCTTGCTAACCTTGTGAGGTTTAGTTGGATTGACACAGCTGTCCCGTCTTTCTTCTTCTGAAGCTTTTTTTCTCATCTTCTTCGGCCTTCCAGCAGATCTTCTGTAAGTCGGAGGCTTCATTGCTGGAAGATCTATGTGCTCCCACAAATTAGGACCATTGATTGGATTAAGTACAGGTTCATAACTTTGTAGATACGTATTCTTCAAGTAGGTGTTGGAAACATGCTTCTCTGGTGCATCATGTCTCCTGTTGATGGCAGCTACAGCATGGCCACATGGTATTCCCCTTAATTGCCACTTTCTACATGAACAGGTTTTGGCAGCTATGTCAACAATGTACTGTTCCCCAAATGGACAGCTTATCTGATACTTCATTGTTCCAGCATATGACGCTATGCACATACACTGCTCTTGTTTAGTCTTTTCCAGTATCTCAAATATTGCTGGACAAAGGAGACCTGAATACAAAATGAAAACAACAAATTGGTCATAAATTTCTCAAAGTTATGAACTGAACTTAATACTAGTAAATTAAATGTTTCTTAACCTTCGTGCTTGGACATTGATTTCCTGTTCCTCTCCATCCTCTTTAGTAGGTACAAATAAATGGTCTGCAGCATAGATATGATTGGTAGTGACCTGGCCTTTAAAATTACTGCATTAAAGGA